AAAAAAAAAAAAAAAAAAAAAGCCTGTGGACTTTTGGGGAAGAGAAGGCATGACACAAGGACAATGAAATAGCAGTATAAGAGCATTTTTTTAAAGTTCATATAAGACAGCAGTAGGTATTGACAAGTGATTAAGGTAGGCAATAAGAGTTCAGAAAAGGGAGAGATTATATTTGCATAAATTTATGCTGGCCTCAGCACCTTCATCAAACATCTTGACACTATGAACCGTGTGGTTACAATGAAGCTTGAGAGAGCACCATGCCTCTCAATAGCTGACTTTCTCCCCTGGAGCCTCGGGCAGATAGTGAGGTCTGCAGGAAGTAAGAGCAGGGAAAATGAAGACACCTGGTCACCAAGGTAAGCAGGACAGGTGCTGGGAGATCTCACCTGACTGCGAAGCTTGGCTATTTTGAAATATTAATGATTTTTTGTCTCCCTGTATTTCCCCCTCATTCTCCTTTTAAGCATTAGAAGCGTATAGTACTTTCTTGGCTTTGCTTTTACAAATTGTAAGCCCTCCAGACAACTTAAAGCAGGAAGTTCAATCCTGGCTGTTCATGGAATCACCTGGGGAGTTTAAAAATACTGCTGCCTGGGTTCCACTTCCAAATACTCTAATTAAATTGACTTCAGTTGCTCCTTTGGTGATTCCAAAAGCAACCAACTTTGGGTATCACTGACTTAAAAGTTTCCTAGATATGGTGAGAAAAAGATTTGCTGGAATGAATATTTTGGAGAATCAATGAAAGAGGAGTGCTTTCCTGTTCCAACGCAGAGAAAAATCCTGGATTTGATACCCTGGAGTAGCGGAAATCTGGGTTCTGGCTTCCTGACAGCCCCACTGGGGAGGGAGGAAGACTCCAGAGAGAATGGCAGTGCGATATATCTAGGCCAGTGCTCCTCACACAGGGATGTGCACAAGGATTACCATTGTTAAAATGCAGATCCTGACTCAGTAGGTCAGAGGCGGAGCCTGAGAGTCTCTATTTCCAAAAAGTTTGTAGGTGATACCAATGCCGCTGGTCCACAAAGTGGCAAGGATCTACATGGCTAGGAATATAGGCTGTCTTCTTTAAGATTCCCACGTCCATTTCAAGCATAGAACAGGAGGAGCCGAGCCGGGCCAGGCGTAGTGACTCATGCCTGTAATCCCTACACTCTGGGATGCTGAGGTGGGCAGATCGTCTGAGGTCAGGAGTTTGAGACCAGCCTGGCCAATATGGTGAAACCCCATCTTTACCAAAAATACAAAAATTAGTCGGGCATGGTGGTGGGCACCTGTAATCGCAGCTACTTGGGAGGCTGAGGCAGGAGAATTGCTTGAACCCAGGAGGCAGAAGTTGCAGTGAGCCGAGATCATGTCATTGCACTCCAACAAAAGCAAAACTCTATCAGAAAGAAAGAAAGCAAGAGAGAGAGAGAGAGAGAGAGAAAGAAAGAACAGGAGGAGCCACAGCCTGTTAAAATTGAATGGTCCCACAGGCAGGGACAAAAGGTGTTTCTGCAATGATCTGGTTTGATTGATGACTGAGGAGTAGATGGACCCCAACTGCAAAGCTTTCTAGGCTAAAAGAGGACCACATCCTGACAGGGGATCCTTGTGTCAGGGTCCTGGCAGATCACAGATGGCCACTTAAAAGGGATGACTGAAGAGAGTTTCATGAAACATCCTCACGAATAACAGATAGATTGCAACTCTATAGTTGGCACTTTGGGGGCCATGGCTGTGATCCTGTTGGAGAACCGGTATGCAGAAAAGACGGACTTGCAGAAGTTGCTGCTGATTTCAGGAGTGTGTTGAGAATGAGCCACAACACTTTAATAACTGCCAACAGGTGGACAATAGAAGGAAGAGAAAATAATGCAGTCTTATTATAGTTTGCTGATGACACAGATTTCTTGGAGCAACTCAGAAAAATACTTAGAAAGGCAAGGGTATGAAAAGTTATCTTTAGGCCAGGTGTGGTGTGGTAGTTCATGCCTGTAATCCCAGCACTTTGGGAGACTGAGGTGGGCAGATCACCTGAGGTCAGGAGTTCAAGACCAGCCTGACCAACATGGTGAAACCCATCTCTGCTAAAAATATAAAAATTAGCCTGGGCATGGTGACACATGACAGTCCCAGCTACTTGGGAGGGTGAGGCAGGAGAATTGCTTGAACCCGGGAGGTGGAGATTGCAGTGAGCCAAGATCATGCTACTGTACTCCAGCCTGGGCGACAGAGTGAGACTCCATCTCAAAAAAAAGAAAGAAAGAGAAAATTTATCTTCAGCCTGGGCAACATGGTGAAACTCTGTCTCTACAAAACTAAAAAAATTAGTCAAGTATGGTGGTACACAACTACATAACTATGGTCCCAGCTACTCTGGAGGCTGAGGTGGGATCGCTTAAGCCCAGGAAGTTAAGGCTGAAGTGAGCTATTTTCACACAACTGCACTCCAGTGTGAGTGACAGAGTGAGACCTTGACTCAGAAAAAATAGAAAAGTTATCTTTAGGACCTCCAGCTCAAAGTGATTTTTTTCTTTTTCTTGAGATGGAATTCAAGCAATTCTTCTATCTTGCCTCCTGAGTAGCTGGGATTACAGGCACATACCATGACACCGGGCTAATTTTTGCATTTTTAGTAAAGATGGGGTCTCACCATGTTGGCCATGCTAGTTTTGAACTCCTGACCTCAAATCATCCACCCGCCTTGGCCACCCAAAGTGCTGGGATTATAGGCGTAAGCCACTGCGCCCAACCTGAATTTCTTAAAAGCAAAACTAAACTAAACCCTTGATCATCTTTCTGGAAAAAGGGCATAGGCATGAAAAACTTGAGTCCAGGGGAAAGCTGGGAATCTGATTTATTTAAAGCAGCTCTTGGGGCCTGAAATTTAACACTGGTTGGGTTCCTGGCTTAGCCTGTTCAAACACCTATGTGCCTTCCCAGTATCAGAAGCTGGTAAAGGGAGGCTGGGCACAGTGGCTCACACCTGTAATCCCAGCGCTTTGGGAGGCTGAGGCAGGTGGATCACCTGAGGTCAGGAGTTCAAGACCAGCCTGGCCAACATGGTGAAACCCCTGTCTCTACTAAAAATACGAAAATTATCCAGGCGTGGTGGCACCTACCTGTAATCCCAGCTACTTGGGAGGCTGAGGCACAAGAATCACTTGAACTCAGGAGGTGGAGGTTGAAGTGAGCTGAGATCGGGCCACGACACTCCAGCCTGGAATTCCATCTAAAAAAAAAAGAAGTTGGTAAAAGGAGATGGGAGTAGAGATGGCCACATCTTTCTGAGGTGAAAGGAGCCAGTGCCAAATAAGAGGTTTCAGTGGCACCTACTTAGGCCTGGCCAGCTAGACCAGCTGGAGAGTTCTCAGGGAAGTAAACAGGATTTTGACTGGTGCTTTACAGTTCTTTGGAAAGCCAGGTGGGAGCTCCTTCTGCAGGATCCCTGAGAGCAGGCTGCCAAGGCAAAAGGACTCCAGGGTCCTGCATCTGCTGTCAGTCAGTGCAGGGGCCTGAAAACATTTTAGGAGAAAGTGAGCTTTGGAGGAGGAGAAGGCAGAATTGTAATTTGAGTCCAGGTCTTCTTGACCTTGAACATTTTATTTCTCAGGCTGCCTCTGAGTGTCTCAGAGGCTGGAGGGTTTTGACACTGTACCAGGCATTGGTTAACAAGAACTGAAGCCTTAAAAAGGCGTAATAATCAGAAATTGTTCTAAGACCTATAACACATGAAGTGCCAAAATAAATTCCAACTTAATTAAAAAGTTAAAGAATAAATATCACAGCAAAGGAACTAGAAGAAAGCAAGGGCAAATATTCAGTTAATTGTATGGTGACCAAGGCCTCTCTAAACACGATAGCAAAAAGGAAAAAAGCAATGGATTTGAAATACATGTGTATTTGTGTATGTGAATACATAACATTAAAAACTTCTGCATGATTAAAACAAATCATCAAGAAATAAAATTCAGCAGGGCACAGTGGGTCACAGTGTCATTCCAGCAATCTGAGAGGCAGAGGCAGGAGGATTGCGTGAGGCTGGGTGTTTGATGCTGCAGTGAGCCATGATGGCATCCTTGCACTCCAGCCTGGGCAGTAGAGCAACACCCTGTTTCAAAAACACAAGAAAACAAAAGACAATAAAATTTAAAAATGTGAAAAATGTTGGGAAAAATATTTGTAACATATATGATCAATATTTAATATCCTTAATTTAAAAGGATAAAGAATAGGCTGCTCTGCCTATGCAGCAGCCATTCTTTATTCCTTTACTAAAAAATAAAATAAAATAATAAAGAATAGATGACCATCCTTATAGAAAAATGCTAATGGCCAATAAGCATATGGAAAATACTAATTACAACAATGAAATATGACAAAATACTAGTTCAAAACAATAGTTCTTCTGGATTGAGATAGGAAAAAACACAATATCCAGTATTGTCAAGGGTGCAAAGAAAGGAACATTCCCATACATTTATATCTGAAATATAAATTGGTTTTGCTTTTGTGGAGGGTAATTTGGCAGTTTATGTTACAAACTTTAACTTGGGCCAGGCATGGTGGCACATGCCTATAATCCCAGCACTTTGGGAGGCCAGGCGGGTGAATCACGAGGCGGGTGGATCATGAGGTCAGGAGTTCGAGACCAGCCTGGCTAATATGGTGAAACCCCCATCTCTACTAAAAATACAAAAATTAGGCCGGGC